ATGGAGGAGAAGGTGTGAAGATTAGCAACGGAGTCAGAATGAAGACGCGATTAGAGAAACACGCCTTTACTGGGAATTCACATTGTTCTCCTAAGCCATGGACCACTTCAGCTAATGAGTCTAGATAGTCATGTGTTCAAGTTTTATTAGCCAAATTGAAAGTTAGTTAGAGTAATAGTAATATAAGAAATAGAGCCTCTTTTGTTATAGGCAACTTTTTGATCATTTTCCAGATTTTGCTTGTGAGAGAATAGGAGATTACCCCTGTTGTTTTCCCCTTCCCCAAGCTTCCTTTATTTCTTTTCCCTTCTTAGCTAAATTCATATTTTCTACTCCTATAAGTGTTACTAAATATTCGTCAATGGAAATGGAGATACCCTTTTATTTTCTAATTGAAGTTACAATTTGATTGTTCATTATTACCAACTTTTAAATTTATCTACAAATGGTTCTGTACCATTACATTTTTTAGATTGTAATGTTTGCCCGCTGTGTATGCGTGTTTGGAAAAGAATAGAGGTGGTAGTTCAATGCCGTAGCTAACTAGTAATGGTTACCAGTGAAAAAATACAGACTCAACATTCTATTGGAATGGAGAACAAGACACGTTTTAGAGATTGAAACTTTAGTCTCTAAACTTTGCATTGTCTTCAATTTCAATTCTTCATTTTCTAAGGTTCACCATTTGATCCCATAGCCTTGTTTAAGAAGTTTTCAATTAGTCCTTAAAGACAAATTTTTGTGGAAGTTGCAATTTCATTCGCTGAAATGTTTTTTGGTTGTAATTAACCCCAGCCTTTCTATTAAATAATTTTTTATTGGATGTTTCCAAGTAGGTCATTGTATTAGATTAGTCAATAATTAGTTGAAGTAGCCTTCATTTTGCCAAATTAAAATCTTGATTAGAGAAAGTATAGTTGAAAATGCACCAACAAAGTCTAATATTGTGATGGTATAAGTATAGCAGACAAATGTCTATAGACTGGAAATTCTTATGGTCAATACGAGAACAATTAGCGCCAAATGTTAACCCGATGGAAAACATGTGATGACCCCACATCTTCCTAGGGCGTACCCAAGGGTTTGGCGAACCGTCTGCCCAACTTTCGCCAGGACTCACTCACGCCGTCACGAAATTTACAAAATAACAATCTCAACAATAAGAGCAACATCAATTACAACCCTAGACATATACAATCGTGAACATCAAATGCCCATACAATCTCTAAATACAACCGAGGAGTTAAACTTACAAAATAAAACCAAACAAGCTCACTAGAGAGTTAAGGAGTGCCTACGTGAGCAACTAACAAAACTTAGACAAAGTTTATGTCTTCTCCAATTCCCACTCTCACGTTCTAGCCCCAATAAGAAAAACAAATTTATGGAATGAGATAGAAGCCCAATAAGATTCCAAGAAAACATGCAAGTTAACTATTATGCATGATATAATATACAGCAAAACAGGTGACCAGATAGATCATGCAATAATATACAGTAAAGAGTAAATTCTTATCAAAGGATATAGTCTGCTCTCAAGAGCAGGTATCACGGCAGCTTGTCCAGAGTCTATTAACTCTGTGTCAAACATGGAATTATAATGTCCGTAGATCACCACTAAACGTCAATTTCCGTCCACCAATCATCCCCCTACCAGACCCAAACACCAATCAAGTACCCAAGGTTCGCTAATCTCCTCGACCAAATCCTTGCCGGTTCGATTCGACCAACTAGTCATGGGTTGGGTTTATAGTCCTAAATATTCAAGTATTCATGATATGGGCCCCAAGTATTCAAATATTTATGATTTGAGCCCCAAGTATTCAAGTATTTACGAGTGGAGTCGTTGGCTGTGACCCAACGCTCACGCAAGTAAAGATTAGAGACGTTAGCTGTTACCTAACATTCCATATTCAAGTATGTCACGAGTAAACAGGTTATGAATTTCATCATTTACCCAAGGTTACCTAACTTACCCGCCCGCTCTAAAGTTGGTCTCAAGTAAGAAGTCTAACGAGGGCTCAGTTCAGCCGTTATTGACCTATATTCACGCATACATAAGAGTAACCCAAATTCCCATTTACCCGACGTCTCAGATAAGGGTTCAAAGACCCAGTTCAGCTGCTGCAAGAAAATATACAGCCGGTCTACAATCATGCATATGTACATGCAAGTCCGCACGCAAGATCAAGTATTTCAAATCAAGATACAGGTCACTTGTAAATCAAATTGCTTGTATATGCATGAACAAGATATCAAAAGGTTAGTCCAGTTATGTCAAATGCGATAAAATACACACTCGCCTAAGAAATGACAAATCAAGTGCCTAGCAATTTTAGCAACAAGTAGTTGAAACACCCACTGAGTCAAAGCAGAGGAACGTTAAACATTTGTTTCCGAGTTATGCTCATGTTCACTGCCAAACCCTAAGAGCAACTAGGACAAAAATATTATTGTCCAACCATCCAAAGTTTAGGTGAACTAAGTTCACATTTTAGAGTCAACTATGAGTCATACACTTATCCAATTTAGCCTCCTAAATTCACAAGGGTTCAAAGACAAATTTGAAGGTGCAAATCAAGGAAAAATCCAAATAAATATTAGGGCAATGATTCAACTATGGTTTTGAAGTAAAAGGAAAGAATTTGGACCCAAGAAACATGAATAACCAAAGAGTTCCACATTACATTCTATTGCTGAAAATTTCCAGCAACCATACGGTCCTCCAAATAAGAAGTCAAGCCACAAAAGTCAAGATTTTCACCATAAAAACTCACATGCCTACTAAGATTGAAGTGTTTTAAGATATATGGAGTCAAGATATGTAAATTTACAGCCAAAGTTTTAGATGTAAAGTTGGAAACATCTCAGCTCCCACGAGTTCCAATAAAAAAAATTCCAGCAAGCATCATTCCTTTGAAAAATCATAACTTGAGTTATAAGTGTCAAAAAAGCATACAACTTGCCCCATTAAAATCTAGACTTGAAGCACTAATAATCTTTAAAAGATAGAAGATATCTCAAAGAGATTCAGTTCATAAAATGGTCCAAATTGAGCCACAAGCTACTGCAATATTCCAGTTTTTACTTGTGCAAAACAGAATTTTTAGTCAACTTTATCGATTTTCTGGTGTGTATATAAAATGAACCACAACTCATATTTTATACCAGTAGAAAGTTCTATGAGTCTGGTTTCAAACGCAATAAACGGAACTCAATTTTGACTTTTTTATACAAAATTATAGCAAATTTTTCAAAACTGCGCAGAGCTTCCTAAGAAATTTTCATATTGCTGATAATGGTGAGAAAATGCTACTTTCACTAACAAAACCTCACTCTCTTGACTCAAGTTCAATATACACTTATAGTATAAAGTCTCATAGGGTGTTTTGAGTAAAATTGAACTTAAAATCATCATGAAATTTTAGAAATCAAGGCTAAACATCCAGCCCCTGTTTTCGGCCAGCAAGCACATGGTTTCTCAATTGTTTTTCCAATCATTCCTTCAACCAATTTTTCAAGTTTAACCAAACCTACCAAGTAAATCCATAAGGTGTTATCACCTACATAACAAGAGATATCTATAGCTAAAATTTCAACAAGAAAACCACCATACTTGCATATAATATCCAAACCCTAAGAACTCAAACATCAAGTTCATGAATCATCAACTTGGAAAACTCTCAAGATTCACCACAAGATTCTCTTATCTTAAACATAAGACAAAGAAAGAAGGAAAAACTAGCATTTTGTTACCTCTTTTGCCTCCAAAACAAGATGCAAACCAACCAAGTCTTCTACCCTTCCAAACTTATACCAAGATTGTTGCCCACTCCAAGATATCTCCTTCCTTTCCCCCACAAAACTAAGAAAGATGGAAGCTAGTTTGGATGAAGTTTTCTTCCCCTTTTCCTCCTCAATTTCGGCCCCCCTCTCTCTCTCCCTTGTGTGTTTTTGTTTTCTTTTTTGCAAGACAAGAAATAGAAATGATAAGGTCAACTTAGCCCTTGAAGTCTTTAACTAATAACTCTTGGTTCCAATGATGACACTTGTCAAGTTTTCCCTTAATGTCTATCTTCATTTAGCTTAATTCTCTTCAATTACACTAAACTCCTTTTCTCCCACTAAATTCCTCACACACCCCACTAAAAATCGCTACAACCTCGCTAATACTGTGAAACTTAACATGTACCAAAGTATAAAAGATAAACTCTTAACACAATCGTTAAGTATTCAAGAAAATAGGGCAAGTGAATGAAACCAAAAGAAAGTATAAATTAACTTATTCCGAAATAAGGGAAATTATAAGAAAAATATAAAAACAAATTTTCGAATCTTCACAAAACATACCCAAGTTCATATGTACCCAGAAATCATAAAAATCAAAATTACTTACTAATAGATTAAAACTTTAAAGGCACATAGAAATTTGGAGTGGATTTGGTCATATGACTTTATTCATTAATATTCCTACTAAAAGTCAATGGTTTGAATATCGGATCTGACCAGCTGGTTCAACCAGTTAAATTGCAAACATGCCATACCTCCTATCTAATTTAATAAAAAATTCTAAGAATCAATTGAACTGATTAAATCCGGTCAAGAACCAGTTAAATCGATAAAAACTAGTAAAAATCGGGAGGTTCAATCGGTTTTTATTAAGTTTTTATTTTCAAAAATAAATATTTTAGTTTTATCCAAAATTTTTAGTACTAAAATAAATTAAAAAATATTAAACTTTTGAACGAGAGTTAAATCGGCCGAACTGCAAATGAAAAGGTTTTTGATTTACTCTCCCGTTCGAGTTACAAAACACTGCTAAAAGTGATGTTTGAGCTACTGAAAGTTATTTGGATGATTTATTTGAGATCATTACTGTAATACTTTTTGTGATGTGATGTATATGAGATAAAAAGATGGTTGAGAAGATAAAAAGGTGATTGAAATTTGTAAAGCAAATTATTTTATTTCAAATCTTTTCAATGCAAACACACCAGCTTTTTTTTTTTTTTTTTTGGTGGTGAGAGAGTCGACAGAAAGTATAGGGTGGAGAGCTGCTCCCATACAAATCAGCTGCCAAGTTACAAGAACTGAATGTGCGTTTCAAAGCCAAAGCCAGACCCATCCACTCCTCAATCCAAAATTGTTTGGCAGATACCAAACACCCAGCTAACCAAAAGTCAAGTTGATTCCATCCCCACTCCTCCCCAATCTACACCCAGTATTCAAGGTATTTTTTGGTCTTTATATTCTGGTTTACCTGTATGTAGGGCTAAATTTTTTTCATTTTATTTACTACTGTCTTTCAAACAAATGATATGAATCCAACTATTCCACGCTTCTTTTACAGTTTTAATTTGAAATGAATCCAATGATTCCGGGTCCATTCAACCCTACGGCGCCTCCGAATTGGGCTCCAGTGCTGCCGCCGTTTCCACCACCATCCAGTGCCTTCTGGAAAAGCAGTAACGTCCGTGATTGCCTCAAAGATTTGCATGACACTGTTAATCTAGCTAAAGCATTGTAAGTAATCCTTGCTTTAAAGCCCTAGACTTGGGAAAAATAATGATTGACATATTATTGATCTAAAATTTTGATTGGTGAGCAGGGGAAAGGAGTTAGAGATGTTGATTATGATGAAAAATGAGGAAGAATCTAGTGAGGGTGATAGTTCAATTGACAGGTTTCATAAGTTGATGGAGGAGAATAGGTTTGATTTAGATTCTCAAGAAATGATAGCATTGGAAGCTGCTAATGCTTTAACATCAAGATTGAGAGTTCAGCTTGAACCATTTAGAGTTGTAGCTGATGTGAAAGCTCCGTGGGAGGAAAAATCTGCTGCGGTAAAACTGTCAGATAAATTGCGCAAGTATAAGAGGAATAAGCGTTGGCGGAAAAGAAAGAGGATGCAGGTTGCTGAGAACCTGGCAAAGGTGGTTATGGTTTATGACGAGTGCCTGCATTATTGTTGATTGTGCCATGACTTTGTCATTGAGTAGGAAGCCAAATATCTTATATCACCAGTACTTTTTTGATTATATTTTTATTTTTGTTGGTGCATTTCTCTTTTTATGAGTTCAGGAGCGTGAGCAATTTGACCGGATTGACAAAGAAGCTGATGAGTGGAGGGCTGGAGAGATTGCAAAGGAAATTGCTAAGCGTAAGGTACCGATGTTGCAGGACATAATTTTTCTTATGCAACTTGGGTGTTTTCCTATTTGTAATTTTTGTTGTTTTTTCTTGGTCTTTCAAATTATCGGCTGCCTTAAATCTCCTCTTGGATAACAGTAGTAAGGCGGTAAAAAACCTGAAGCAGTTGAAAAAGCCTGAGCCAATGTAGTTCATCCTTGTATATTGACTCTTCAGGTCATAAGATGCTTTTTTTTTTCAAACTTTTAGCATTTTCTTTGGGCGTTGTGGAATATCCTTGTTGTACCTGGATCTTTATGACGCAACCTTAATGCGCATTTGGAATAATTCAATGGCTGAATATAAACTTTCAGACAAACCTTTTCTATCAGCCTTCTCCTGGGACCAATGAAACAATATGAACAATTTGAGGCACAAAATATCAATAATCTCGTTCCATCAATGATATTTGTGTATCTCTTAACACACTAAATTCCTTTATATATTGAAGTTGATTTTCTTACAACTTTGAGTTGTTGGTCACTTATTTAGTGTATGGCTTTTACCATGGTATTACTCGATGGATGGCTATGATACAAGCCGCATTTTTTTTAATATAATTCAATTTTTGGCAGAAAGCAAGCACCATTCAATTCAAGACTAATTTCTTTCTCCTTTTTTGTATAATTAATATTGCCTTGTCTTGGCTTGATTGTGTTGTAAAAGTGGATGAAGTTGTAGCTTCTATAGAGTTGTTTTCGTACTGTTACATCTTTAAATGTGTTCTTGCTAACAGATGGGTATTGAATTCAGGTAGAAAAGCTGAAGGAAATTGCAAAACTTAAGGCAAAAGAGGAGAAGAAAACATTAGAGTCTGAGGTAAGCATTCGCTTATTGACATGCTTCAAATTGCAAAATTCCACCTTGACTGATGACATGTCCTCTGGCTTTTTGGTTAAAATTAAAGGAGTGTCTAAGGGTGCATTTGATAAAACTCAAATCTGAAGACTAACATCTAAATCCGTTAAGTTATTGAATTGTCAAGTACTAAATCTGATACATTTGAGTATATATCAAATTAAGTGATAAGTGAACAGCTTATCACTTATTTTTGGAGTAAGTTTTGCCTAGAAAACTCAATGCTATTTAATTAATTGAGATGTTCTATTTTTTGTTATCAAACGCGTCTGAACATATTAAGATCTGAACCTATTAAGTTTAAGTGCTGAATTGGGTTATTGGGTTATCAAATAGGGGCTAATATATCTAGTATATAAACCTTATTTTTTCAGGAAATATCTTCTATAAACATCTTCTCTTTTACTCAAATGTTAGCAATCCATTCTCTAAATTATTTAGATTTAGTCCATTCTATTCTCTAAATTATTAATTCAGTCCATTTCTGTATTTAATTGTAAATATCTTGGCTACTGTTCTCAAGAGTCAAGTGTACATTAATTTGCTTATCATTTGGTCTATATTTTCCTTTTTGACAAAAGCAATGCTTGCAATTGTTCCTACAATTGCATTACAGGTTGAAGGTGAAGATCAATAGAACATTGGCTAGTCATTTGCTTAAATCCATATGCTTGTGTTCATTTTCAGGCTTGAGAACATTTGGCTCCATATTTTAGCCCTGCTGCGGCTGCAACTGCTACTGAAACAATAATTTTCTTTTTCCTGTCTCTTGGTTGAATAAACAGATCTTGCTTATGAAGCTATGTTGTTTAGCACAAGAACATTTCATCAATAAGAATTAGGAAGGACACTGGATTCAGTTTTACTATTGGAGTATAATTAGGGAGTGGAGGAAGAAAATGTCAAAGCTCGTAGTTGTTAGTCATGTGTACCCCTGGTAGTGTACAGCCATACAGGATGAGGATGTTTGGTTTGCATGGCTTTTAACTTTTCTCCTTGCTCATTGTCTTGTTTCTCTTATTACCTCTGCCCTTGCTCCAAGATCTTCAGCTCACAAGTTTCAAATTTCAGCTTGAGCTGATGCTGATCGTGGAGAAGCTGCAAGAGTTGCGGTCCCTTAGGATTCAAAAACTGAAAAAACAAGGTGATGTCTCAGTGATTCTTGACTTTGGTACTGTTATGTGGTAATGACAATTTCATTTACAAAAGTAGATAGCATTTTCCTCTTTTGTTCTACATACATTTGGAGGTAGGTGCAATAGAGGGAAAGGAGTCGAACAATTTCTATGCAGAAAATGTGCCGAAGTTTCATTATCTGACTATCTAATGAACATTTCTTAATGATATAGAGTGTGCAGCACATGCTAAAACCATTGTTTTACTCTCAGTCTTCTTAACACATTCTGATTGCATATTTTTTCTGGGTTATGCTGCTGAGACAAGTAATAATCTGTCTCGGCTCGAAGGTTTTGCAATATTCTCTTTTAAAGGTTTTGAAATGCTCAGATAATGAATTATCTCGTTACTGATGTAAGAAATTTCCATGTTCTCTGTTGTGCAGGTCATTTTCTCCCCGAAGAGGATGACAAGTTTCTTGAAAGAGTTAGAGCTGCTGTTGAGGAAGAGGAACGACAAGCTATGGCTGCAGCAGATACGGAAGCTGCAAAAGATGCTATTGCAACTGCCGAGGAATCTAGAATTCAAAATCGTGGACCTGACTCGGAAAAACCAAGCAAAAACAACAAAACTGTAGACATGATGCTGGAAAGTGAAGATAGAAGAGATTCAACTGTAGTCACTGGCAATGCCTCCAGACCAAGAGGAACAGAAGGACAAAGTTCGACTGTTGCATATGATTCTATGGCAAACTTGCCAATGGAATTTTATCACTACTATTACGGCAGCAAAACTGATATGGGCACCCTCATTGAAGTAATTTTCATTTTCCTTTCCCTTTACCTCACAGCATTCTTGTTGGATATCTTATATGTTAAGAGATAGTCTCTGGCCTGTAATGAGTGATCTGAGCACTAGTTAGGCAAATTTTTTCAACTAGACTTTTTGAAACCTGTTATTGAGCATAATGTCATCCTTGAATACATTTCTATTAGCATAAGTATGTTTGAACATAGATAAGGATAACTACACATAAACTTTCCTAGTTTTATAATTGCTAAAATCTCTTGAATATCCATGATGGAAAAGGCCGCTAGGCTTATTATTAAATACAATTTGAAAGATTCATCAATATGATTTGCTGACTAGTTGTTTCATCCCATGTAGGTTAGGAGAACATGGGATGCATACATCAGACCTGGTGGAAGGTAAGTGCGATGATTCTCTGAAACAACTGTGAATTGTCAGCTGCCTTGGTTTTTGAAATTGGGGCAGGTGGTGGCGGGGTTTCAGAATTCCGTGTATTCGGGAAGGGATTTGGGCAGGAGGGGTGTCTACTAACACACAAGTAGATTTTGTCTGGGGGGTCTATTCACTACTTTTGTGCATTTGGTGTGATGGAGGAGGATGGGTTATTGGGGTTCGTGGTTTGGTTGTGGATGGATTTCCTCCAACACTTAATCATTTACTGGGAGGAAAAGCGGCACACAAAGACTTTGTATTACCTTTGGTGCCATGATTTTTTTTTTTTTTTGGGCTCATGGTTTTTGGTTTTTGAGCAGAAAGTTTGATATGCTTTTGTCTTTGTTTAGAACCTGAAAGCTCATCTTATGTGTCTTTTGGAAAACTTCAATGCAGCCGAATACCAGGGCACTGGGTTCAGCCGCCTCCCCCATCAGATGAAACATGGGCATCCTACCTGGTGAAACCTAAATGACGTGAGCTAGAAGACTCAAATGAATAGCTTGTGCAACATTTTTATGTGCATTATCAATAGATGATATATTGTTTCTGTATAAAGGAACGTCTGTTTCTCTAATTTTCGTTTGTGTTTTAGTTGCAAGTTCAAACTGTTGCGAGTCAATATGCAGCACTTTTAGTTAGGCGATGGATAACCAGTGCTAAAGATTCGATGCAGAATTTTAACTGATTGGGGCAAATTTGTTGTAGCGTGTGAACCTCAGTGATCAACATGACTTCATATCTTCAAACTCTTGCGAATTTGTTTTATATCATCAGATTAATTCTTCCTTTTCAAAATTTACCATTCCACTCACATGGCAGTCTCAATGTGAGAAACTGTCCCAATATACACTGGCACAATTTGCATTTGCTTTGCCAATAGAACAGGAACTCTCTTAAATAAACACTAGCTTGAGAAGCTTTTTAAGCAACAGGCATTAAAATTTGCAATTTACATATTTTGAACAGTGTTGTAGATATTGATTCCAGGAATGTTTCTTCGTGCATGCAGCTTACAATTTTGCATGCTAGGTACTGAGTAACTTGCTTATAGTGTTAGATTAATTTTGTGACCAATTATGCCATCGTTCTTTTTTCTTACCACTATTTAACCTTATTCTGAAATTGGGGGCAGAATTAGAGAACTTCTTTTTTATCTTGTGGGGATATATAGACATGTTGCTATCATAATTTGGAATTTCTTGTTTTATATTATGATAAAATAAGATGGCTTGACATAATTCAGTGGCTTAAAGAAGTTTTCTTTTATACTCTTAATGCAGATTGATCAGTTTCAAGCAGAAATTAAAGCTTTGTCCAATGATTATGCTGCATTGCTGAGAGATTTTTTTTCTCTCTCCTCTCTCTTTATACAATTTATTCTTTACTCTTAAACCTTCTATCTTGTACCCTCAGTGAATCTTTCCCTTTCCCTTGCCCTTGACAACCCCACTCCCCAACTTCTTCACAGACTTGGGGGAAAAACTGGAATTAAAATGTTGATTGGTGCATAGTTAAGGGGTTTATGGCAACCTCATTTACAGTCATGCTCTGCGATTTTAATGTCCAATTGTTAGAATGTTTAAGGAAGCAAATTTTGTTCAATTGTTGAATCTTCTTGTTCTGATAATTGGCCATTTTGGATGGTAGGCTCTATATTAACATGAGAGTCCTATTGAGAATTTGACTTTGTATTGAAACTGAAGGTTCAATTCAAGAATTTTCCGATGACCATGCTGTAGTATTTTCCTTAATCTGATTTATTCAAAGTTCTGTTTCTTTTGCAAAACAGTTTGATAATTTACAATTTCCTTGGCTTTGCTCTCTCTCTTGTTTTTCAGTTTCTTTAACTTTTTCTTTAGTCCTGGGTTCCCTGTGTTTGAAACTTTTTAAATATTCATGCCCATGTCAAGGGAAACTTTTAGGCTGCTTCCTACCCGAGCTAGATGGCGCCTTTCTTATTTGGAGTTAGTCACTGTTATGTCATTAAGTTAATATTGATATTCTGTGGTTAGATACTTCACGGTCTTAATAGGTTGAGGCTATGGTGATTGGCTTTTTCCAGTATGGGTTTGTAAGTTATGTTACCTTGTTTCCTAGTATCATGGTTTTGGAGGGTGGATATACACGCACTTTTCAGTTGGTTACATCTAAAAGATTTCATTTGACAGGATAGAATTATGAGGCTTAATGAAGATATGGAATACTGAAGCAAAATCTCTGTGCAACAATGCTGCTGTAAATGCATCTAGAAGCACAAAGGTGAGTGTTGATATCCAGAGGGAATATATAGCAGGGAACAATTGAATGAGTACAATTTTGGAAACCTGAAAACTTGTGAAATTTATGTAAGTGATTTTTTTTTTAATCTTTCTTGGTCATATGGGAACTGAGTGTTGCTAATGGAATTAGTACGACTTATTGTCACCATTAATAACACGAATGATGTCAGTTCATCCAGTTATGGTGGCTGCCAGGGTACTGTTTGAAATCCAGTAATCCTTTTGGTTGACAGTATTGCAGAGGTAGGTATTAAGCATTTATAATAATTTTCATGACAGATTACCTGGAATATATGAATTTTTCCTTTATTTTTTGAGCTGATGCACGTGAAACTGTAACTGGTGGTCCTCCCATGCCTACAATGATGGAGTTCATATTGTTTCATTATCTTTAGAAGTTGCAAACACCTTCTGTATGTGTGTCTTCTTGTTAACTGTTAATTAGTGGACATGACTGCATTGAATCAGTAGACTCTTTGTGCCAGTTTCTTATTTATTCCTTTTTTTGTTATATACCTATTATCCTTGTTTTGTTTTATGCTTAAAAATGTTGTCAAGAGGAACTTCTTACCTGCCTTTTGTTGTGACTGATGTTATGTTCAACTGTTCGAGGAACTAGCAGTCACCAACCACCAAAGTAAGTCATGGTGAAAAATCATGCAACTGGAAGCATATTGCAGAATGGTCGTATCCTAAACAAGATGGACAAAAAAATGGAATTGGATGCCCTGATTAAGTATTAGCCATACCATCTAATTCACAGACGCAATTTTACAACTTTGACAATTTATTGTTACTTGACTCTCCTTGCAATTCTTTTTGGCTTGCTAAGAGGAATAATAATTGAACCTGTCGTGAATACGTACAGGAGCTGAGGTGTGGGGAAAGTTTGTCAACTTGCCATCTATTTGTCTGTAGAACTAATTGTCCTTTCTTACATTATTCTAATATCACTGTTCAGATATTTAGCTTCCCATTTCTGCCCTTCATTATCTGTTGGTAATGAATAAACTGGATAATAGATGTATACATGCTTCTAGGAGCTCAACATGCTTCTAGCGTTTGACAGCATTTCTGTTGGAATTAAAGCATAAAATTGATACCAAGACTTGTATTGAGGGCTGAAAAAAAACTCAAGTTGCATTAATCAACTCTCATTTTATAAAGAGTACAAGAGGAAACTCAACATAATTCTCTCATAAAGATTCTCAACAACAATACTTGGAATTCAAAACAACTTGAACTAGTCAAAAGACTGAATTTTGGAACCAATTCCGGCTAATTTTACTTCTTGTAGAGCTTAAAATTTGCAGTACAATTGCATTGCTCAACACTCCTCCTTGCTGCCTTTACTACTGATTTTGAGCCAAACTCCAAAACTAGCAATGACTTTGATGCATCCAAATAAAAACATCTTTGCAATTTCAAAGTTGAATTCCCTTACAAACATATGAAATTGAAGTGTAACTTGCAGCACGCAAAATGATTATTGTGAGAAATGTGAAACAATCTATATGTTACTTCTATTGCAGATTTTTAGCTCTAGAATAAGTCAAGTTACTTGTTAAAAGTAATTCCGGATATTTTGCTTTTGTTCAGTTTAAGTTTTTTAAGAATTATGTTGAGTTTGGTCTTGTACTCTGTACCGAAGGAGAGCTACTTAATGAGAAACTTGAGCCTTTTTTCAGCTCAATACAACTCTTGGTATCAATTTTATGATTTAATTACAACAATTTCAAGCAAGTCGTCAGTTAGAAGTAAAGGAATTGCAGATGGAACTGGACAGAGAATGTAGCAAGTTGGAAAATATAAAACTAAGATTAGAAGGTATTGCCAGATTTTGAGCAAATATGGCTATGGTACTCTTACCAATTTATATATTTTTTGTTGTTGGAATGTTCTTGCATGCAAATACTTCATGTTGCTAAGCAACACATTAGTAAAGTTATTTATGAAGGCTGATGTGCTGCAAAGTTCTTTAGGAAGGCTTGTGCAGCTGTCTCTCTCTCTCTCTCTCTCTCTCTCTCTCTGAGACTAAGTATTCTATCTACTCAGAAGTCTCTCTCTCTCTCTGAGAAGAAATCTTCTATCTAATCGGAAGTGCAAAGGAAAGTAAGACTGTACTTAGGTGACAAGCAACTCTTGGACCTGCAGTTTCATTTTCCATTTTCTAGTCTCTTTCTTCTGGAAGATAGCAACATCACTAAGGATATACTTGTTTTTTTAGTTTGTGATATTTAATCTCTGTTTCTTTTACGGTTGCCCTCAGAGATGAAAAAGTTTGTGATAAGTTGAGCCAAAAGATATATGAAGATAGAAGACTACAGATGTTGTACAGGAGACAATGATGAAACTGATAACATGGTGGAGACTTTGGAAAGAGCAATTTTCCGAAGGCATTGATGGTGAGATGGACTGAGAATTGAACTAGGACCTCGCAATTAATTGGTTGATGTCTCTATTAGTTAAATTGTATCTTGGGACATTTTGGATTATATATATATATATATATATATATTAATATCTCTTATGTATTTTAAATACATTCCTTTTTAAGTTCGATAACAACCAATTTGAATATATTTTCAAATGATCTTCTCCATCTGATGAATGGAGATTCTGCTTTGCCCTACACTTATCTCCCAAGATTGTGCTTCAACTTGTATTTAACACCTATGGTAAAATGCAGCTCATAACATAACCAAGCAAATAAGGTATTACATAATCTAGGGTGAAGGCTAAGGGGAGAAAAATCGCCTTCTTCGTACTATCAAGAGTGTACGGTATATAAACATTTATGCCAGAGAAATTAGTACAAGAAACGGTGGATGCACTTCATCTAAAATAAAAAAAAAAAAGATGAAAGAAATTCAATAGATTTAAAACTTATTTTTTTGGTTAAAAAAAGACCAATTGTTTTTCGAGAATGCCCAATATCTTTCTTTATCTTTCCCTATAATTAATTGAAGCCGTGAGGCCCTATTCATTTATTCATTCAACCCAATTTTATTTCCTTCTATTCCAAAAATTCGAACCGGGTTTTTCTTTTCTACTGATCCGGTAAAAATGAAACATTCTCAGAACTCTCCCTCAATCCGACATGCTGTTTTTTCCATTCATTCCCTTTCAGGATCAGTCGTGGTCTTTCAAACTTTATCGATGGTATAAATGAATCCCTGCTTCATCTAAATGTAAATATAAACATTTATGCAAGTGTAAATTAATATAAATCAATCTAAAATCTAATAAAATCTTGTATGATCAAATTTAAATCAATCTAGAATCTAATGTCTAGTATCAGAATACTATAATCAAATCAAATGTTTACGTTTATTTACTAATATCTATAAAACTCTCCCTCAAGATGGAGTATAGATGTTAATCATGTCTATTTTGTTACAAATATAATCAATTCTTGGACCATTTAAAGATTTAGTAAAAATGCCATTTAATTGCTCTTTAGTTCTCATATAATTGGTTGAGATCAAGTTTTGTTGAATCTTTTCATGAACAAAATGACAATCAACTTCAATGTGTTTAGTTCTCTCATGAAAAATCGGATTTCATGTAATATGAAGGGCAGAATGATTGTCATACCATAATTTTATTGAAAAGTGAATTATCAGTTCCAACCTCACTTAATAATTGATGTATCCACATAAACTCACAAATCAATTGTACCATGGATCTGTATTCTGATTCTACACTAAAACGAGATTTATATTCTGTTTCTTACTTTTCCATAACACCAAATTACCTCCAATAAAAACACAATATCCAGTTGTAGATCTTTGATCCATTTTAGGGCCTACCCAATTTGCATATAAAAAACATTTAATACAAGAATGACAATGATTACTATATAATATACCATGTCCTGGAGCTCCTTTAAGATAGTATAAGATTTGCTCTAAGGCTACTCAATGGATGATCCTTAGTGAAGATATAAGCTGACTAATAATACTAACTAGATATGCAATATCTGGATGAGTCACAGTAAAATAATTCAACTTCCCCATTAATCTCCACTACTTTTAGGATCTTAAAGCAACTCCCCATCACCTATTGTATTGCATGTTGGGAATTATTAGCGCACTGCAAGGTTTAGTACCTAACTTCCTTGTTGTTTTCGAAAGATCAAAGATATACTTCTTTTGATACAGAAAGATACATTTTTTTACATCTCATAACCTCAATGCCTAAAAAGTATTTCAACATGCCTAAATCCTTTGCCTGAGAGCATGATTGAAGAAAATTTTCAAGGGCTATAAAACCTGTATTATTGCTACCAGCAATAACAATATCATTAATATAAACAAAAAAGCAAGATTAGACTAGCATCAGATTGCTAATCAAAAATAGAATGGTCAAAATTATTCCTCTTCATGCTAAACTCTTAAACCACCTCATTGAATCTCCCACCTTAAGTACGAGGACTTTGTTTTAAACTATATAATCATTTTCAAAGTTTATAAATCTTACTAGACTTCACCTCAGTAACAAACCCAAGCGGTTGCTCCATATAAACTTTCTCTTGTAAATCTCCATAAAGGAAGGCATTTTTAACATCTAACTCCTATAAAGGCTAATTGTTAGTGATAACAAGAGAGATAAATAATCAAATAGAGGAAAGTTTTGCCATAGGAGAGAAAGTGTGTGAGTAATCCACTCTATATGTTTAAGCTCTCCCTTTGCAATAAGATGAGCTCTAAGACAAGCAATAGAGCCATTAGGATTTACTTAATAGTAGCAAATATGCATTTACAACCAATAACTTTTTTATCTATTGGTAGATAGACCAAATCCCAGGTACCATTATTGTCTAGAGCTATCATTTCTTCTTCCATAGCAATTCATCAAAATCGGGGTGTGCCAAAGATTCAGACTAGTGTATAGGAACATATACAAAATCCTAAGAAGCAATAAAACAATGCAAAGAGGGAAACAAATGTTCATATGAAGCGAATGAAGAAACTGCATAAATTTACTATCTTGTACCTTTTCTAAAAATAATAGGCAGATCAAGACTAGGATCTGTAGATGAAGGTATCGGTGGGGGATGTGAGTCTATGTGACGAGAATACACTTGAGTGATAGGTGGTCTTGTAGGAATAGATGAACTAACTATAGTTATAACATTGTAAACTATAATATCATCTTTCTCTCCCCTTATGGCTGCAGACATTAGACTTAGGAAAACAAAATAGACTAGTCTCAAAAAATATATTATCAGCAAAAACTAAATATCGATATAAAGTTGGAGAATAACACCTATACCCTTTTTGAAGATAAGAGTAACCTAAAAACACATACTTGAGAGATTTAGGATCTAATTTAGACACTTGAAGATAGATATCATAAACAAAATAAGTACACCTAAATATACGCAGCTCAATGGGGAATAAAGATTGGGTTGGAAACAAAACTAAATAAGGAGTCTCATTAGCAATAACAGACGACAGCATATGATTAATTAAGAAACAAGATGTGGAAACAACATCTACCCAAAACTATTTAGGGACTTTCATGTGAAATAGAAGGGCTCTAGCAACTTCTAATAAGCGTCTATTTTTCCTTTGAGTAACACTATTTTGTGGTGGTATGTTAGGACATGAAGATTAGTGAAGAATTCCATTTTTTGGCATATATGAATCAAAAGGTTTAGAAAAGTATTGTTTTAGTATCATCACTTCACAAGATGCAGACAGGCACATTGAATTGTGCTTTTATTTCAGCACAAAAGGAATAAAACACATTAAATAGATTTGAATGACTTTTCATTAAATATAACCAAGTAACACAAGAATGATCATCAACAAAAGGCCCCAAATATCATATTTAAATATTGTTGGATAAGGGTTTCAAATATTAGAGTACCCTAATTCAAAGGGGATGCAGCCTGTTTATTGATTCTAGACAAATAAGGCAAATGATGATCCTTGGCAAACTAGCATGACTCATAAACTAAATGAGATAAATTCTGAAAGTTCGGAAACAACTTCTTCAAAGTAGATAGATATGGATGACCCAAACAACAATGAACTTTAAGAGATGTCAAGGTACATGAACATGTAATGGGTCTCGTCACTTTCATTGAAAGAGTTTGAAGTATATGAAGGTCGCCAGACTCACATTCTCTACCAATAATTTTGCTCATCATAAGATCCTGTATAACACAAGGAAAAATGAGACAAAGCACGTAAGAACTTTTATAATTTTACTGATTGAGAGGAGATTGAAAGAAAAATTACGCAAACATAAAACTAAAGATAAAGAGATCGATAATGCGGAAATGACTGCACCAGAACCGATAATTGAAGTTAGAATTAAAAGAATTAAAAGGCTTATGTTAGAATTAAAAGAATACAGAAGAAAGATTGGTGCTAGATGATGGATTAGCATATTTTTATGAGACTTATGGTCAGCAGAAAATAGACTAGTACTAGATGATGGGTTAGCAAATTTTTGTGAGGCTTACTCAGTAAAGAGGGCAAACTCATCAGCAAAGACAAGTATGGATTTGTCAGAAAATAAAGGCATGTGGTTGCTCTCTTAGGTTGCAAAATTAGCAAACTAGGATTCTAATGAGATTTGCTGTGAAGCAACTAACATGTACGTTTGGTGTGGCCTGATTTTTTTATAGTGATAACAGACCCGTTGATTTGGACATGTTGTCCATGAGTAGCAAATCCACCATGTATATTTCTACCATCACTACCACTATTATTTCCTATCGAATTAAGTTATGGCAGCCCACAAGGGCACTAATAACATTCGAGGAAGATCGAGATCCCTCAACCCTTAACACTCATGTAAAGTTGTCATCAGCTCTTAACACTCGTGTAAATGTGTCACAATGAGAGAGAATCTCTGGACTAGAGGGGATTTTTGCTCGAGCAACATCAAGTTCAATTGGTAATCCTGCAAGAAAACTCATAACAGCCATTTGCTCTCATTGAGACCGTTAAGTTTTTACATCAAGACTATAAGGAAGGAGAGAATTTAACTCCTAATACACCCATTCAAAATTCATAAAATATTCGGCAAGAGATCTTTTTGCTTTTCTAGACTATACAATTCCTTGCAAACATCATGTATATGATTTAGATTACCCTTACCAAAATATAAGAAACCCAAAAAATCCATGAGATCTTTAGTGAACTTACAACGATTAATCAAACTAATTTTCTCGTTGTCAATAAAGTTTGAATCTGCAAAAATATTTTTGCATCTTCTCTTAGCCAAACCTTCTTC